AAAGGGAAGAAAAAAAAAGAAACAGGCCTTCTGCTCTTCGACACGGCGGTTGGCTTCAACTCCTCGTCTCCCAGGATCTCGATGTCTCGTCACGTTCGACCGACGTTTCTCTCCTGATCAATCCCCTGGCTTCACCGGGTGGGGGGTGTTTTGTTTTGTTTTTTTTATTTTTACCGTTACAAAAAAAAAAAGAAAGAGGAATTTTTTGTCGTTTTTGAAGTTTTTTAGATTTTTTTGTGTTTTTTTAATTTTTTTTTAGAGAATAAGGCGTGCGCCGAGGCAAGCTCAGGAGCACACACTCACACACACAGCACTAACAGCCGGGGTTTAGGGGGAGGAGGACGCGCGCACGCCGCCGCTTTTGTACCCTCGCCTACGTCACCGGAGCGCACCATCTCCCGGGGTTCCGCGGGTGGTTGGGAAAAAAAATAATCCCGCGTTCCACTCCAGCTCGCGAGGACGGGGGCGGGTCGCAAGGCTGAGCTACTGCGCGTGCGGCAGGTCCTCGTGGGCCACCTGGTTTATTATAAGCCGGAATATGTCGGCTTCAAACAACAAAAAAAAAAACGCGTATGTGTGCGGGAGCGAGGCTTGTTTTGTTTTTGTTTTTTTTTAAAAGAAGACCAATATAAAATTTATTTTCAGAGACGCATCACCCAGTCCCATTCGCAGAGGGATAGGACGTGCCTTGTGTGATAACAGGCATCGTAGCAAGGGCGAAGGGTATAGGTTGGTCTGTATGAGTCTCCTACGTATACATCATGCTCAGACAAACCATCCCAAGACGACCTCGAACCAGCGCGTTTAGATAGCTGCTACAACTGTTACCTAAACTAGTCGGTGGGAAAAACACCCACGACTGCTATTCAAAGGACTCATTCCAATCCCAGAAAGCTTTTCGCCTCCGGCGTCGTGATCGTGATCGTGGGCGTGGCTGGGAGACGGGAGGCGGGTCCCCTGTCATGCGCGGTGCAGCGGTTACTGGCTTAATCATATACTTGACACTTTTCTTCATTAAACTCGGACTACCGCACCACTCGCTGTGTCGTATTCTATCGTATTTACTTATTCGCGTACTTTGCCAGCAATATCGAGTCTGACAGGTTGTGTTACCCCGTGAGTTTGCATTTCAGAAATATTTACGTACAGTGCCTTTCAAATGTAAAAAAAAAGTTATTCTATTTATGAGCCCTTGTCAGGAGGTGAATGAACTCACCCAGTGTTCCCCAGCCCAGGTCCTGGTGGAAACTAGTCTGTCTCTCCATCCAGTGCTTATTGATCAATTGATCTGCTTGTTTAGACATCGGTTATCTTGTTTACAAACCCAGTCTAGAGTCTCAGAAATGCCTTGCTTGGAACTGCTTCCAACAGCTTTAAAAATTCAGAACTTTAAGCTGCCTTTCCTCAACATAATCAACTAAACAGCTTTTAATAGGTGATCAATTGACGATGAAGGTAGGGTGAAGGTTGTGGTTGTTATGTTTTACGCAACACATATAAACTGAGGCCAGTTCTGACACTCAGACGTTGATTTACAAATAAAAAATGACAAATCCCATTCAACCTTATAAAAGCTTAAAGCAAAGTCAAAATATCCCCCCTCCCCCAAAGCCTGTGATTAAGACTAATTGATTTCAGTTTTCAATCACTGCAATAAGCAATCATTCTTAAGTTTGTCATGAAAAATATTGTGTATAACTTTGGTCACCATGCTATAGAAATATTGCTGTGCTGGAATCTATCCAGATAGATTCTGGGGCTTAAGAGCAGGTCTGACACTGACAGGCTGAAAGATCTGAACCCTTTCAGTCTAGAACAGAGAACGCTATGAGGGGACCTGATACGAGTTTTTAAAATCCTCAAAGTGTTTGACAACGTTGACCCTCTGGGCATCTTCAGGATGAACAGTGAAACTGAATCAGGCGACACAGGTGGGAACTACATGGTAGTGCATTTGAACCCGGCAATACGAGGCATTTCTTTACCCAAAGAGAAGCGGGAGTGTGGAACAAGAAACCTGGCCTTGTTATTGGAGCTGATACCAGGGCTTCTTTCAAGAAGCTGCTGGACTGGGGGCTCCCCAGGAAATCCTTTGGAACCCCCTGCCTGCGTGCCCAAGCAGTTAAGAGAAAAAAAAAAAGCCTTCACACAGATCACCATAACCATAAACTGTAGGAACAGTAGAGTTACCATTTAACTGGCACATTTGTTTGGAACAGAATGTCCAATGTCAAAACAAACAAGCAAGTCCCTTCATTTAACATTAATTACATTATCTGATCCTGTATCTTCAGAAGAGCATTTGTTGTTCGGCAAACAATACAGATTGTTTACTCTGGGTTTGGGATGACACAGTTCCTTGATTGTGTCAATTCAAATCAGTGCTCCAGACAATGTCTGGGTTTAAACACTGTTCATAGTCTTTGCTATGTGATGCCAGTTCCGGAACTGTAGAATTGTAAAGTATGCCTACTGTCAACAACAATGTGTAATTTCTACAGCTCCTTTTATGATACATCATCTCCAGGTGCTTTACAGTGAAACAAGAGAGAGGTACACACAAACGAATACAGTAAATGAAACAAGGCTCGTGTCAAAAAGCGAGTCTTCATTTGAAACTGACTTGCCAGGTGTAAGACGGACCGAGAGACCGTTCCAGTACTATGGAGTGACAGGATTCAGATTTTCAACAGCGAGCCGCCTGTTTGTTCTATCAACTCAAACCTGAGCTACAGTACATTCTCAGTTTCGCAATCTCTAACTCTACATCTCTACTCACCGTGCTTTACCCCTCTGTTTGTCAGATGATGCAATTCACACACAACGATGAGTGCGTTCTCGTGTCGTGGGGAACAATGCTATCCAAGAATCAGAAACTTTGTGCATATCTGAGCGGATTAGGCTTCACCCGCTTGGCTAAGGGACACCACCCTGGCCGTAGGACCACACCCCCGTCAGAGAGAGGAGTTAACGAAGATGGAGAAGGGCTAGAGGGGGGATGCTCGAGACAAATGGGAGAAGAAGTGTTTGTGTGAGATATATACGGTGAATGGACAATTTCAGTAAGGGTTATGATTTAGAAGAGCTGGGTGAGATTGGCTTGTTGCTTTTAACACTCGCAAACCTCTGTCTCCCAGTGGCTCTGGGGATAACTGCACATGCGCATGTCACTGTGTGTTATGTGTCTGACTGGGCTTAAGCCACTGCAAGGAAAAGAGATAGCACGGGAATTAACTAGGATGTATGAATTAACTATGGATGTATGCAAAGGAATAAGTGAGAGGTTACGAAACACAACGATTCGGCCGTGGAGCCTTCTTCGGGTGTGAGGGTGAAACTCCACAACTCCACGACTGAAACGCTGTGTTTTCTTTCTCCTCTTTTCAGCATGGAATAAGCCTATTACTTTGCAGCCTACGCATGCTGACGCAGCTACCCAACGGAACTACTGAATAGAGAAGGTTTCTAGCTTCGAGCTTCTTTTGTAGCTATGTTGTTCCTCTCACATCGTAGAACCGAGCAAATGTACGAATGTACTTTTTATTCTAGATTTTGAATTGCCTCATTGTATCTGCTTTCATATTGTTACTAATGAAGGGTTTGCGAATTCTCTTTAAGCTGCATCAGTTTCTTTTCACTAGAGGATAAAGAGCTTTGCTACCTCTTATATGAAGCATTTTTTTAGGGCTAATGGACATTTTTGTTATAATTTTAATTGTGTTGTTTTTCTCTGTTTAAACCTAGAGGCAAAAAACAGTATTGTTGTCCAAAACTCATCTGTTGCTTTTTTTGCTTTCATACTAATATAATAATAACATCACTTTATTAACCCTTTACAATATCTTGCATTAGGAATTATCTTTTCGCAGACCCCAGCTTGCTCTCCATGAGACACACAGACAGGGAGAGAAGCTTGGGGTCAGAGCGCAGGGTCAGCCATTTATACAGCGCCCCTGGAGCAGTTGGGGTTAAGGGCCTTGCTCAGGGGCCCAACGGAGTAGGATTCCTCTGCCGGCCGCAGGATTTGAACCAGCAACCTTCCAGCCACAGGCACAGATCCTGAGCCACAGAGCCACCTCTGCCCATGACTTTATGTTCAAATGATTTTTGGAATGGAAGGCGAGAAGGTTGGATTGAATCATATTTAAAATTTGCTTCAAATGAGCAAGAAAACAATTTTGTCCAAAAAAAATTGGTTAAGAATTCAGATTAAATAAGATGATTATTAGTCTCTATAACTGATATGGTAAATTGTTTCATTATGTTATCAGATTTTCGAAATATTGAGTCAAGGGCATGAATGACGCATTTTTTCTATTTAATACTGATAATTTAGGAGGGTTTCACTTGATATTATAGTGTTTTGTGTTGATCAATGGCAAAAAATCCCAATTCAATACAGCAAGATTCCATTGGTAAAGGGAAAATGTGAAATAGTCCAAGGGAGAGATACTTTTGATAAGCATTCTAAGAATGTATCCATATATACTAACAACAAAGAAAAAATATCACTTTTAGGTAAAGATAAAAGGGGTTGATATGTATTTATGTACCGTACACCCTTTAAAAAATTAAAATGTGTTTTGAGATTAAAATGACACAAACGACAGTCTCTCAGTTTAACGATTATTCAAACTGGACTTCAATCTCGGTTTTTCACTGTCAGTGTTCATTTTTCTTAATCCGTAATAACAACACAAGAGCCGTCGTTTAATTGCTTCTGCCCGATTGGCAAAAGCAATTAAAGCATAAACATCAAAACAGTGAGATTACTTTCAAACAAGGAGATGCACTTACTAACTTGAATCCCTGATGTGTTCAACCACCCGGATTCCAAAAGTGGGATGTGTTGACTTAAAAGATGAAGAGTCTCTGTGATAGAGCCTTAATCAATAGATAAAGTATTAGAGACAGTATTAGAAATACACAAGCATTATTAAGTATGCTCCCTTAGTGTTCCGTCGTCATAAACTGATGTACAGCTCAGTGCTGGTCACTTTTACTTCACTGTCTGCTCCTGTTTTGTAATGGGAAAACAAAACTGAAAGTACAGGAAAACACACGGGACACGATGGATTAAGAGCAGAAACGGGACTTGGAATACTCTGTCTGAAGTGTTTTTTTGTTATAACGAACATTGAAAAGAATGCTGTACAAGCGTTAAAATCCCGACCTGTTTTACTGTTGTGTTCTCAAGTGTTGTGTTTGTGGTCTAGACAGTGTCACGCCGTCGTCGTTATTCGGGACTGCGTATAAACACCGCTGTGAGGTACAGCAAGCAGTAGCTCCCCGCAACATCTATTCGTTATGTGAAGTTTTGGAAGGTGAGAGCTCTTACACCACCTTTTCAATGCGAAGCGATCGAAAACGCTTTTAAAGGGCTGAACAAAAGGCTGATTGTTTTGAACGCTGACTGCGCTCGGTGCTGATAACGCCCGCTGCTTCTACCCAAGAAATTCGTCGGCCTATACAAACACGCGAGCAGCCCGATTGGAGCGCATGGAAACGTACGAGACCGACATCGAAAACGAACCACAGCGTTTGTTTTAGGTCTACTTTTTGCTTTCGACATTTTGCAGAAATATTTAACTACGGCCAATGTGGTAGATACTGTAGGTGTTGGCAGCGAGGCCACTATCAGTAATCACTTGGAAACCTCGTTGCAGACAATCTAGAATCACAAAATACATCAATTTAATCAAAACCTCCACGAGTGGTTTCTACTATCATAACAATGTTGACTGTTCTAGTTTAATTAGGTTGACAATACATGAAGCTGGTCATTTAGCAATCTTTAGCATTGAATGAGGGGACTTCAAAAATAGTGCTTACAATAACTCCGGGTCCACTGTACATGAGCAGCCAAAGTGAAATAATTTACAAGTAAAAATCGAAGTTATTCCCTGTCAGGGTTCATTGTCTTTAACTTTGTTTATTTTTCCCTCTACACATCTATATGGCTAAAATTATGTTCTGTGTACTCTACAAGGTAGAGCTACCTGGATGAACTGATAGCTAAAAAACTAATGACTATGGAAGATCGCCACAAATTTGTACCCCTTTTCAGAAAATAAAAAAGTTCAATGCGAGGTGTTTGCCCAGTCTTGAATTTTATGCAAAATCATCCCCGGTTTGAAGCCTTAAATTTGGTGGGTTTTATATGAAAGTGTTTCTTCTAACGCGGTTGTTGCTGTGCAAGAATCTCAGTATTGTCAGAAGTGAAGTCAAAACTCAGTTTGTCCTGGAAAGACGTCTGCTACAGCAGTGATCCGTGTCAGATCCGTAATGCTTCATACTGGTCGTCATTTTCCGCTCGATTTCAGTTTTGCCACTGAGGAACAGCACTATTTCAGAACCATTTCTTCAGACTGCCATTTTCTCAGGGATGCTGGCTGTAGGTCATACGGCCTAGACCGGTGTCCGTCGTCACCGAGGCATTCAAGCAAGCTGCAGAGGAAAGGAGTGAATTCAGAACTCAAAAGAAAACACCAGTACAGAACCTATTCGCTCTTCTTGAGGCATTCTCCTTGATTCACACGTAGGGAAAGGGGTGGGAAGAGGTTGTGTAACACTGTCACTTTGGTTAACAAAGGTGTGGACCCCTGCAGTGCAAGCATGACACTTCTATTGGAGCCATTCGTCTTTACACCCCTTACACATACAGTAGTCCTTAAAAGAATGAATCTTACAGTCCTGGTAACACCCCAGTCTGCTGCAACAGGCTTTTGACTCAAGGACCCTTCACAAAGAAGCAGGCATCTAAATAGCTCATTCCATTTGAACACTTTCTCACATAGTTGCTTTTAAGAATATATTAAAAAAGAGTGCTTACAAACCACAGACACACATGCCACTAGTCTTTTTGGTCGTTGGCAGCTGATCCAAAGAGCCGCATGTCTGGATGGCTGTCACGGACGTCCAAAGGGACTAACCGTGGGGAGCAGGAGAGCGGAAAAAGACCCATATGCGTAGCGGCGAGACGGGAAAAAGGCCCGGGCTCATTAGTGCAAAGAGTTCAGGAATGCCGTATAGAAACCTATGCCCTCAGGGAGCGGACGTGGGGCGCCCTGGTGCTAGGCGGGTCTCAGGACATCCGAACGTCAATGCTGAGCGAGGACAGAGTGCAAGACCCGGAAATATATAGCCCAAGGGAAAGAGAGGGACAGGAAGAACAGCAGACCGGAAACTAGGCACAGGACAGAGAAGGAGCGCCCTCTGGCTGCAGAGGACGTGACAATGGCTTGTTCCACACTCCCCCAACCCTTTGGGTACAGAAGTGCCTCCTAAACCCTTGGTGTCAAATGTCCGTCCACACAGCTCCCTCCTGCGTTGTCTGGTTTGTGTTTAGTTGTTTACCAGTATTGGTTTTTCATCACAAATGCAGTGGATAACAATCAAATAATTCTCATTGACAGAACCTTCATTACAAGAAAAGGAGACTCCTGATCTACAAAGGAACAAGTAATAAGTTTATTCCAGGCTGAAAAAAAGAAGAAAGAGAACACAACGTTTCGGCCGTGGAGCCTTCTTCAGGTGTAAGGGCTGAAGGCTCCACGGCCGAAACGTTGTGTTTTCTTTCTTCTTTTTTTTCAGCCTGGAATAAACCGATTACTTGTTCCTTTGCAGCCTACGCATGCTGACGCAGCTACCCACCTGATCGACTCCCGATCAATCCTTGTGAACCACGAGGAGAAACGCACAAGCACGTTTAAAGATCCATCTCTTTCGCAGCCAGGTGACACAAGCTGAAAGAGCTGTTGCCACGCGCTGGCAAAGGATCTCAGATTTCCCCCGATCAGATGGGTCTCCAGGGGGTCTCTTCTCCCCTTAATCCAGCTCTGTCTGTTCTCACGATTTGAACAGACACAGCTTTCGCTTCCAGGTCATTTTCAGCATCGTGCTCAGTAGCGTTGCCAAAGATACGAGATGGGCGGACATAAAGGGGAGCTTTTGACACCAAAGCGGGCCCAGAAAACAGGATTAACTTGCGGGGGAAAGGCTTTGCCTGCCAGAGATACCCATCTGAGCTTTGTCTTCGTGGAGCTCTGAAAAGTGCATAGTGGCACATATTCTACAAACGCCATTGTGCCATTCTGCCATAGGGGCTGTATTCCCTCAACATTGAACCAAACTGTTCCGCCTGCTGTTAGCGCAACAACTGCTTGTGCACTGCTGGCCCTGAGGCACTCCCACTGCTCGTGACAATGGAAATGAGTCTAGTAAAAATACTCTGCAGAAGAAAGACTGCTGTGGAATGGTGTCTCTGATGCTCTCATGACTCCGAGGATGACTAGGTGCTGGGATACTCAGTTTCAAGGTCTTCTGTGATGAGTATCACTGCGGTGTTCCACTGGAGAATACTGACTTTTGCAAAGGGGCAGTAAACCAATCGAGCTCGAAAGAATACATTTCATCTTTCAAAACCAAAATTCTTGAGGGGCTTTTTCTTGAAGCTTTGTAAAGCATGCTACATACCCTCGCATGAATACATTGGTGGAAATAAAGAGATGATTAAACTTCAGTCATGGCACATCAAGAACATAGGGTAACAGTGGACTTTTGTCTCCATTTTTATGAAGGTTAATCCGCTCAGCCAAATCGAACTAATACCGACACTTGTATCGAGTCCTGGAGCTTGGCAGTTGTTTCCCTCGAAGAAAAAGAAACTTTGATTTAAAAACAAGAGCCTTTTTTTCCTTATCAAGCAATTTTAGAGGCCCATAAATATCTTTTTGACGTTCTACATTCGCAGCGTGTGCTCTGTCTGCGGCTGAGAGTCATAAATAAAAGACTGAAATAGAACGGGAATCAATGTTCAGTTCCCAGGACTGTCACTCGCGGTGGTGTGTTTGTGCGTATTGGTGGAGGAGGTTCAGTGTGTGGTACTGTATGTGAAAGGGTTTCCTCTAGGTGTCTGTGTTGGTGCAGGCTGTTTGGAAATCCTTGTTGCTAACTCTGCCAGAGTGATTATATAAGAACAGGAGAGAGGCTGCAAAAGAGAGGAGGCCCTTCTAGCCTGTTCGCTAATGAGTAGCTAATTGATCTGAGGTTCTGATCCTGCTGTTTATTGAAAGAAGACTTCCACATGCTGTAGTTATATAAAAACAATAATAAGGAAGTAAGGAAGAAGTAAAAGTTCATTCCATGCTGAAAAGAGAAGAAAAAAAAACCACAACGTTTCCGGTTGTGGAGCCTTCTTGTGGTGTGGCAATAATATATAAGAATATTATTATAATAATTCCTTACACTTATATAGTGCTGTCCTGGACACTCCACTCAAACTACCAAACTACCAAGACTTTCTGAACATTTCTGGAAAAATACAGTGAATTAGTTGGGGTGCTTTACAGGTAATGGGGATCCCCTCCACCACCCCCAATGTGCAGCCCCACCTGGATGATGCAGCAGCAGCCATAGTGCGCCAGAGCGCTCACCACACACCAGCTCTCAGTGGGGAGGAGAACAGAGTGATGAAGCCCGTTCAGAGGGGATTATTAGGAGACCATGATTGGTAAGGGCCAATGGGAGATTAGGCCAGGAGACCAGGGTGACTCCCCTACTCTTTTCGAGAAATGTCCTGGGATTTTTATTGAACACAGAGAGTCAGGACCTCGGTTTTATATCTCATCTCATCAAGGACAGCGCCTATATACAGAATAGTGTCCCCATCACCCACACAAACCGCAGGGTGAGCGCCCCCTACTGGCCCCTCTAATACCTCTTCCAGCAGCAAGCTTAGCTTTCCCAGGGGGTCTCCCATTCAGGCACTGGCCTGGCTCACACCTGCTTCACTGGGTTACCAGCTGTGTTGAGCAGGGTGATATGGCTGTGCTCATTTGCGCCCTCTGGTTTCAGTTTAACTGTTCATTCTGAGGACATTCTCTGGGTAGACTTTGTCACAGACTTTATGGCTTCTGATTGCTTGTTTCATTGCTATCCCCTCAGTCTTCTCTGTTCAAGACTAAATGTCGTGGGTTTCATACAAGTTTTAAAGCATCACGAAGGATCTATCAAGATTTAAATTAATATTTTCAAACCTTCGCAGTTTTTATTCTCATGGCGCCTCACTCGATATTACCCTTGGGGCGATGCATTTTCTCCAACCTCTGAAACCCGTTCGTGCCTGCACGTTCTTCTGGCATGTTATGCTCAAGTCCGCTGAATATTTAAAGGCAAAGTAAAAGCTCCGTGAAGTTGCCCCCCTACAGACAGCACAAACGATGAAACCCACCTCATTCGTTAGTGCTACGTTTGTGCCGGTTTAAGCCGTTGAAAGTAGCGCTTGTGCTGCTTTCGTTTCCGAGATACTGCGCCTTGTTTTTTTCCGGTGCTTACGTGACCATGCACGGTGGCTTTGACCTCCAGTGACCCCGTCTGCTGAGTTCAAGCGCTCTGTTACAGTTTAGCTCGTACCCGTAACATTTTAATGACAATCAATATCCATAAACATATGAGCCTATTATTCACATGAGATGACGCATGCCAACAAGTTAATAAGTTATGACATAAACCTGTGGTTGTAATGTATGTGAAATCACCGTGATTGTAAGATCTATGTTTTTTATTTTCTAAGGCACGTTTCCCTTTTTTCATCTACCGTGACACGCTGTTGCCAAACGCGTAACTGTTGGATACCATCGCGACAAGACCTCAGCAGCATGTCATGATCTGGACCCCATGTATATCGCAGTGTATATCACGACTGGCGCCTTGCTTCCATGCCACCCTGGCACCGCTGTCGCAACAAAGGTCTCATATCAGGACATGATATACCCAGATAGGACGTGTCGCTATATATGGACTTTGTGTCGCGACATGGGGTCAGCATGTCCTGTCAGCGTATGTCCTATCGCAACATATGGACACCATGTCGCGACATGGGGGCGGAGCATTTTGTCGGGGTATGTCATATCGCGATATAGTGCCTTTCATGTCGCGACATGGGGTGTGGCAATTTTTTTGTCATATCGCGATATATGGACTCCATGTCGTGACATGGGGCGGAGCATTTTGCAGGGGCATGTCATATCGCGATATAGGGCCTTTCATATCGCGACATGGGGCTGGTCATTTTTGCCGGGGTATGTCATATCGCGATATGCGGGCTTCATGTCGCGACATGGGGTTGGGCGTTTTGTCGGTGGTACGCAATATCGCGATATACGGGCTCCATGTCGCGACATGGGGGCGGGGCGTTTTGTCGGGGTATGTCATATCGCGATATAGGGCCATGATAGTGTTGCGCCGGTCGCAACGGTTATCGCGATGTGATCGTGATACGCGCATTCCTATTGTGACATGCTATCGCAGTCGTGAAACTCTGTGGATGCCAGGACATTCTTTGTCTGCTATTCAGTTTTGACCTCAGTGCGACTTCTCTTAGATTGATCAGTAATTGGAAACCAATGGATGTGTTACAGTATATCCAGCGTGCTCATACAGAACACACGATTAACCGGTTCTACAGTATTTGGACCAAGAAGAACAGCCATCACCTGTGTATTTACATGTTCTCGGGACTTCCGCTGTGGCGCTTTACCCAATCAGAGTGTCGATTCTCACTCTTCACCCAATCGCGGCCCGAGCTGTTCGGGGGTTCAGCCAATCACGGGTCTGAGAGCTGTTCAAGCCGGCAGCGCCAGGTGGATCGGCTTGTTTACTGTCAATGAGAATCTATTTTTAAAATGCTTTACTTATTTGCAAAATAACTAAATCGGCTTATTTTTTTTAACGTTTTTATTGATTCACAAAGTCCCGTACCCTTTGAAATAAATACATTTTTTATTTGGAATATAATTGTCTCCGCTGCTTTCTGTAATGAATACATGGTATTAGAACAATTTTAATCGTATATTTAAAGTAGGTGAAACACCTGCTTTGTACTTCAAAAATGTATAGAAAATGTAAAGTCTATGATCATTATATTATTATGCTCGTGCTTTCAATTTTGTTTTTAATTGTTAAATTGTATCGATCTTGAAACTAATACTTAAACATGTGAATATGGGCTCTCGTGTTGTACCAGCGGTAATTTGGAAACTGGTTTACCTGTGAACAAGTACTAAAATATACTGTAAACAGGTGCCGTCCTTCGGATGAGACGTAAAACCGAGGTCCTGACTCTCTGTGGTCATTAAAAATCCCAGGGCGTTTCTCGAAAAGAGTAGGGGTGTAACCCCGGCGTCCTGGCCAAATTTCCCATTGGCCTTAACCAATCATGGCCTCCTAATAATCCCCATCTATGAATTGGCTTCATTACTCTGCTCTCCTCCCCACTGAGAGCTGATGTGTGGGGAGCGTTCTGGCGCACTATGGCTGCCGTCGCATCATCCAGGTGGGGCTGCACATTGGTGGTGGTGGAGGGGAGACCCCATTACCTGTAAAGCGCTTTGAGTGGAGTGTCCAGAAAAGCGCTATATAAGTGTAAGCAATTATTATTATTATTAAAAATTAAGACAACAAATAACTGGCGGTAACACACGATTACCAGTAGAGGGCAGTATCTGTATCTTAAATCGTCAAGTCAGATTTTATTGGAAGGAATATGAGGCGTATGAAAACGGCTGTTCACGCATGCTACAGTGTTAGAGAAGTCTGGAGTCTCCTTACAAATCTAGATTTTAAAAAGCTTTTATCACCAATGCATGACAATAAAAGAGACACGTTTACAATAATAAGGTGTTTTAAAACCTTCGCGTTTGTGAGGATAAAATCAACTATATATGAAGACACCTGGACACGTGAAGATGGCCCCTTAGCCGAAACGTTGTCTCTTTTCTTTTCCTTTCAGACGTGGAATAAACCTTTACCTGTTCCTATATGTATAAAGGATGTGTTTTCCAAGGTGGTTGAGGGGATCCGGTAAATGGTAAAACGGTAAACATATTGTTTTATTTGTATTTATATATATTGTTAGAAAAGAGAGAAAAATTATTGAAGCTCCACTTAAGTGAAATGTAACGGCTGTATATCTAGGAAATCTGAATTTCACTGGCTGTCTTTTTAAAAACGTCTTTTGAGATGACTTTGCACACAGTGGCATTTACAAACAACCGCGTGTAAATGCTGACAGTTCGTCAAGGTAAACCTCCCTCCTGTACTGGGACTGTGGGGAGTATTTGGGGCTCGCCTCTGGTCTTGCTGGCGACGGAAAGTAAGCTTTTATGTTTGGCTGAAATGTATCTCCCTTTTGCCATCGTGACATGACGTATCGTGACATCGTGACATGCTGTCGCCATTGCAACGTGATGTTTTCTTATCGTGGCATGGTGTTGCTACCGTGACAGGAGGTTCTGTCGCAATGCGTGGCTACTGTACTGACATGCTGTTTTGTTACCGCGACATGCTGCCGCTGCTGTGACGCAGAACACGCTGTCACGATAGGCTGCTACTATCGTGACATGGCGGTTTACTATCCCAATACGCTGCTGCGCTCCTGGTCTGCCGTTCTGTCTCCAGCTCAGTGCGCCTTGTATCGGATTGAACAGTTGCTGGCAACGGATGGCTGTATTCCTATACAGCGCCGCAGCGGGTTAGCTGTGGTGCTCTGTAGCTGCAGAATTTGGAACCAGAGAGAAAGACCAACGCCTGCTTCGAGTTGCGCTGTGGGGCAGGACTCGTTACAGTGTCTGTATACCGTACAGAAGCCCAGAGAGACCCAACAGCCTACAGACAGGATTCAGGGGTACATGGGGGTTGGAGGATTGCTCTGCAGTGTATATACAGTGTACCGTGCATACTGTATACACAGGCAAACACGTGCTCTAGAACATTCCTTTATTTCTGAAAAAAACAGCTTGGACAGGATTCCGAACCCCGGTCTGAAGAGTTACGAGGTATGCCGAGATGTCTATGACAACTAGAAGCAATGGTTATTCAGGAACAACACTTCCAGAAACAACCCGGTGATCATAATGGGAACAGAGGGCTTCCTGGATGAGACATCAGTCCGTTATACTATATTAGGACAAACTGAGAGACACCAAGTAACCTAGCTAGCATGCCTTTGGAAAGTGGAAGAAAAGTGGGCACCTGATGCAAATGCAGCTGGACACACGGAGAACACGCAACACGCTACTCGGCCCAGTCCAGAAACGAACCCAGGACCCAAGAGCCTTGAAGCAGCGCAGCGGTGCTGTCCGCAACGCTACCGCCCAGCCCCACCTGCAGGCCTGGCACGGGACTGAAACAGCACAGCAACGCACACTGCCCCTTACGTGAGCGGAGCAGCACACCCGGACACACGGAGCAGCCGAAATCCCATCCCCACTCATGACCCGTAAGACTGCAGTCCCTTCCCAGCTTCCCAGGAGTTTGGGAGTTTTCTTTTTTACCAGGAATTTGTCAGCTGCAGCCTGTGCGTAATTAGTGGGCTTTCTGTCCAGCGACTGGCCGGGCACTGGCAGAGTTGTGATGGCCTGGCTCTGTATACACTTCTGCAAAAGCGTACAGGAAACTGATATCAAGGCCAAAATTCCATAAACATACGACAGCGTCCTAGCAATAGAGATTTTTCCCAGTGGGACATCTGACAGACTACGGCCACGGCCATCTGGCCAAACAGGGAAGGGAAGCGGTGGTATTTTCAGGTCTGCGGTGGCAACGCAATGAAATCAGAACCCAAGTGTCCTGCGTGGAGGGGGCGACACTGCCACCCCCTGGCAGCGCTGTGCAGTGCAGGTGGAGAATCCGAACTGGACCCCACAGGCTCTCGGAGCGAGTGCCTTTCCCAGCCCGCTGAGTCACACGGGAGCCCGTGTTTCGATTGCTCCAGCCTCCTGTCTGATTCCGTCAGCTTCTGCATTTTCACGGGACGCCAGCAACGGTCTTTTTTTTTTTAAGGGGTGTAAAAAATAAAAACCGTTCTCACTCTTTAGGAATTCCTGCGCAGTCAGCAGGCAGCTGCGGGTTTTCCCCAGCAACCTGGGCCTCCGCCGCGCCCACATTGCGAGCACAGCCGGCCCGGGACACACCCTGGCGCTGGCGGGGGGCGCCGGTCTCCCCCGGATCAGCTTCACGGCGACTCGCGGGGCGGAGCTGCGTTCCCTCAGCCGAGAGCTCCGGTCCGCTCCTCCAACAACAAGACCCGACCCGGGTGCGGGGAGGAGAAAGAGCCCACATCCGACTCGCCTTTCCCTCCTCCTGCTGCGAACGGGCGCCCGCGTTCTCGCCGTGTAGCAGAGGTGTGCGAGCTGGAGCCCATGACGATCCCATGGCTGGAGCCGTGTGCAGGTGAGTCACAGGGTGGAGGCAGGGATTAAGGGTGCGCGCAGGAAGGGGGCTGAGTCATTATGACACTGGGAACCGGAGAAAGAAGAAAGAAGAAAAAAACAACAACTTTTGTTCCCTCATGGTTTAAAGAACCTGAATCAATGGGTCTTTTTTTTTTGCATGAGAAGACAGAACGTATGGAGTATAGGATATACACAGACTACCCTGAGGTTTCACCTGCAAAAACGTGCATGCGCGACTCCTTCCCGTTTTACCTTAAAAATCCAATGAAACCCCGGCCCCCACCGGGCTATTCTGGAATGGAAGCTATTCTGGAATGGAAGAAGTCCATTCCAGAATAGCTCCTTCACAACGCTGACCCCTGTGTGGAGCCTGGGTCATGTCTTTCATAACCGGAGAGGTGTGGCACAGGC